ATCCAAGACAGGGAAATCGGGAAGCATAGCTGGTTGTCTGCCATACAGCGCATTGTACGGAGACACTTCATTGTAGAAGGTAAATGCGTTGCTGGCAAACAAGGCTTCATGTAAAAGACGAGTGAAATTCAGAGGAATATTTAATCTATTCAATTCTTCTCCCATCACGTGTATGAGGTGTCGCAGGATGCCGTTCCTAGCTTCGATAGTCGTGGCGCGTTGGCCGCGCGCTCGGATACGAAGCTCTGTTCCCTTAGCTTTAAGGATGGCCTTTGCTGTATCGTTATTCAGTGCTCCTTCCCCATCGGAGTATAAGATCTTAGCAGGGCCATGTTGCATCCAAGTTGTGTGATAGGCATCGAGAACAGTATGCATAGTCTTATCAGGAATCTCTGTGCCAGCTGCCCAGCGAATACAACGGTCGATGATGTGAAAAACAATATGTTCCTGTTTGTAAAAGAAAAGATCCTGTTTGTAAAAGAAAAGATCACATTCGACTTCCTCGTTGAAACGTCCTGGCAGTGACACAGAAGGCATCGCCGTGTTGCCTGGTTTGTCCCAGGCGCGACATTCTCTACACGAGTCGCAAATGCCTTTGATCAGACTCAAACGGGTTTCACCCAGACCAACCTTAGTTAGAATCATCCGCATTTTTGGCTCCTTGGCATGAAACCATCTCAAGTGGAGTTTGCGGAGTTCTCGCTGCACTACAGCTGGGTCAAAGCTGCGCAGGTTTTGGAAGGCTGAGCTGAACGTCGAAGCGAGTCCAATCAGGGAGCCTTGGCCTTGGCCTCGGCTCTGCTTGAGGCTGCGGCGGTGGTGGAGGATCTCCTCCCTCCATGCGTCCGCGCCTTGCTGCAACTTGTGGCAGTCTGCGGTGATCGTCAGAGCTACCAGCGCCAGAGGTGTTACCATGAGCCCCCTCGGCCCTGGTGATGTCATGGCTGCTGGCGCCTGCGGTTGGATCGCCCTCGCCGGGCCGTGGCGGCCTAGGCGCGCGTATGCGCGCTTTCGCGGCCGGCGCCGCTTTTGCGGCTGGCGCCGCTTCTGCGGCTGGAGCCGCTTCCGCGGCTGGCGCCGCAGGAGCGGCTTGCCCCGCTGGGCACGGCTGACCAAAGTTACCTGGCAGCTTCCATTTTTCGGCGAATCTACATTGGCCAGATATCTTGGCATGGTGAGGATTGCTCTTCTGGTATTCCTTCTTACAGCTTGGACAGTCCCAATGGTATGGTTCAACATCATACCATCGACACATCTTCGGATCCCTGCTGTGTCTTGGTGATTGTTTGTAGTTGTTGTCTACACAGCCAGGACACCCAAGACCGCCAGGTGGTGGTCGCCAGATTTCTCCGTTTGGGTGTCTCCGGATTGTTGGGTCGTCCAAGTCGCAGCCAGCACTGTTTGTTACGAGCGCATAACTGCGTTCGCGATTCGCGAATGGATCGCGACCGTAAGCAAACAGATCTTTGGCGATTTGCACCGCATCAACGATCAGTGACTGCATTCTGTAGGTATACTGTGCCGCCTTTGCTAGTTCTTTGTTGCAAGCATTGGCGTGCACATGATTACCTGGACAACGCTTGCCTCTGAAAGGTGCCAACAACTCTTCTTTGTTTGCCATCATCTGTGTTGGCTTGCGGATGTATTGTCCAAACGAATCTTTGAGACCAGTCGTGCACTGATCAATAATCGTTTGGCAAGTGACCTTGCGTTGTGCCAGTTCCTTCCATGGCTGGATCTCGTCCACCCACGTGCCCATTGGTTGTTCCCTGAGAAAGAAACGTCTTAGGTCGTCTTGTAATAGAGCGACTGTTCCACAGAACGCGATATGAGGCAGGTCCTCTTTGTGGTGTTTAAGCCACGTATCATGATTGACCTGCGCATTGAAGTAGGAGGGAAGTCCAGTAGTTCTGCAGCTTGGCTGCAGAATCGTGATCTTGACAAAGCAAGTCTTGAGGTAGTGAAGGACTGCCCTTTGTACTTCCGCGTTTCCAAGGTCAACCATAGATATCTTATCAAGGTTCCCGCCCGACGAGAGTCCTCTCTTGAAGGCTAATATGGATATACCACCCTTGCCCCCACATAATTCAAGCATGTCCACTTGATTGTTTCTGCCGTAGCATAGTGACTGGACCATCGAGAAGACATCGGCATGTGAGTCAGCGGGTTGCCCCGCCGGTAACATCGCGAAGATGTCCTCTGATTCGCTGTCCGAGTCCGAGTCATCGAGAGGAACGTCGTTGAAATATGTGGAGCAGTCAAGCCCTTTGAGGTCCTCTCCACAGTCGTCGCTACCGTCTTCCACTTTCTTCGGGATTTCCTTCGGTTTGATGCCGGCCTCTTTGTCAGCTTTCTGCTTTTCTTTCTGTTTTATCCTGGCATCAGTGGGCAGCGCAGTTTCCGCGGAGAGATCCGCTGCGGAGGGATCCGCTGCGGAAGGATCCGCTGCTAAGTCAGGAAATGGCGGAATTTCAGGAAAGTTGGTGGGTCGCGTTTGGCAGCGCTCAATCGAAGGGGGAGGAGACCGATCGTCATCGACGATCGTCACACGCTTTGGGCGTGGCCTTCCCACCATCGCCGTGAAGAACTGGAGCCGGAGGCTCCCAGTATAACCGGGTACTGATGTTTGTAACCCCATCGGGTAATGGAGCTACATAATTGTACCCAGTCGGCTGATCCTGGATTTTGATATCTTGAACGATCTTATTCGTGTCCAGGTCGGTCGTGACTCTACGAACAACATGGTCCCATTGAGGGCCCTTTTGTGGACATTGAACGTAGTGTCTTACCTTTTTGTCAACGCGCGTACACACACTGAGGTGTACCGCACTCCGCTCATTCCTAATCACGTTGGCTTTATTGAGTTGATCAAGGAAGCGTGCAGTGATGATAGCCAAGGTTTTATGCCGGAGCTCGGCACGTTGCTGATCTTGGCCATACCAATCCAAATCATGCTCTTTGTGTGAGCCACAAGTACATCTCCATAAGTTTATCGGTATATGAGGACAAGATGTAGCAACTTGTATATAAGAACCACTGGGATATTTACTGGAGCGGTCAAACTTGATACCGAAATGACAGAGTCTCATTCGTATAATGCTTAGCTTCAAATCTTCGATAACATCTTTGATCGGACCCTGTTTCCAGAAATACCCGGGTGCCCCCAGGATAACAATCTGCATTCTCAGAGCACGCGCTTTGATCAGGAGATTTTGTATACGTTGATAGTGTGGTCCCGCCCTCTTTCCTGGAGTACGAACGTACCAATCAGAGGGTGTGGCCACCCACAGCATATTATAGTCTCCTGCCAACAAATTTCCCAAATACTGTGTTCCAGTTGAAGCCATTACCTCATTATGGGTAATCCGATCACATATATAGCCACGGGTTCGGAGTTCAGCGCAAGCTGTGCGAATATCTTCGATGACAAGACATTTTGAACGATATTTTTCCTCTCGGGCCTCAGCGCGGCCAACGTATGTAGCGAGGAGGCCGGTATTCGGCTTCTCTTCGCAAGCGAGCGCCGCCGGCGCGCCCGCCTGCCCCCGTCAGCGGCGGTCGTGAGACCAAGTTGCCGCTTGGCTCGGAGGCATGCTGTTAGCGGATGACTCCGCAGGCGTTCGCTCGGCGGGTGACCCCGCAGCTGGTGTGGCCACGCTCGCAGACAGAATCGGCGGATTGTTTTCAGAAATGTCAAAGTATTCCGTCCGATCCGTAGCGTGACCCACGATCTCCACGCGGGTTGGCCCCGCAGAGTCCGACGAACCTCCGCCCGTGTGGCTTGGTGGCGGTGGCGGCGACGCGGGTGGCCCCGCTGGATCCTCAGGCGTCCATTTGCTCACCTCCTCCTGGACTGCCCAGAAAATCTTGGACTTCAGGGCAGCCTTCATGTGTGGCCCAGTCCCTTCGGGACCCTGTCGGCACTCCCACCAGTTGTTCAGCGTCCTGTTCACGATCAAACGGGTCGTGTCCTCCAGGAGCTGCTTGTCGATGTACGGCTCGACGATGTACGTATCGGTCGTGAAGGTCGCAGACTGTCCCGTCGCGGGTGGCCCCGCTGTTGTTTCAGCGGGTGGCCCCGCACTGACGGGGTCTTCTTCATTCTCCGTCTCGGTGTAGCCATCTCGACTGCTGCGGATCGTGAAGGTGTTCGTGACCGTGTGGCTCTTGGCCCCTTCATACAGCCCGCAGGGAATCGCGAGATGGCCCGAGGGGGTCTTTTTCGCCTTCAGGACCTTGGCGCCTCTTCCCAGCTTCAGGGTGTAGTCACCGCTGGGAAAGATGACCTTCTGGTAGCCAGGCTTCAGCACGATGATCGTGTCACGTGCCTCCATGGCTCCTAGGCCCCAGATGGCCGGGAGATTGGCACCCGAGCCTTCTGCGATGTTGGAGGCATACTCCTCGATACGGGGGCTCGCCTCGTTGGCATACTGTACCCCGATCTTGAAGTTGCCCATCTTCCGACATATCGCAGCGCCCTCCCCAACACCATTAATGTAGAGGGTCTTGCTCAGGGTGCAGATGGCAGGTCGGTAGTTATACCTGGTCACTTCCCCGCGAACCGTCCCTGCCTAAATTGTTCACCTGGACCTTTCTCCTCCCACTCATCGTCCCTCCTCCTCACCTCATCTTCCTCGCCCTTGTCGTCCTCCTCTGCATCCCCCCTTTCATCCTCCACGTGGCGCCGCCCCCCGCTGAGAATATCCAATGCCACAATCATTGAAACGCGTTGCAAACACTGATCGCCTCCGCACTTGCCCATGCCGGTCCAAGCCGACAGTGGGAGCAGTAACCTCCGGCACCATGCTTCGACGCCGAACCAACCGAAGGCCCGCTTCTGCACGACGCACCCTGGGCACCAACTCACTAAACGGGGACATTGTTGGAAGTGCCGAACTTTGCAGGATAGGTTACGTGAAAGCGGCCGGCTCGGCGGTGCTGCCGCCGGAGCAGCAAAAGCGAGGCACGGCGTCCACGACGGGAAGTGCAGGGCCCTGCGGATGAACTACCGCACGTGGGAGATCACCACCATCACATTCCCCATCTCCCAACGCTTGCTGGCGAAACTCCACGAAAGACGCGAGCAACGTGCACCAAAACCACTACTTCGCAGAAGCATATTGCCAGAGTGGGTCTTGGCGGCCGCCGACATCGACCAGGCCATCCGCATAATGAACAGCACGCGCTTCGGCAACCCCGACCGCTTCAAGGACCGAGTGGCCGTGGAAATCCTCGGGGCCGCGCGGCGTGTCAGAGACCCCAGCGCGCAGGCTGCCGTGTGCATGGGTGTCCAGTACCGGCAAAGCCCGCGGGACCTCGCAGCACACCTCGGGACCATCAGCTTGACTGCCATCGGGGGTGCTTTGACCCACGAAACGCGGGGTGTCCGGACCTGCCGCCAGACCGGTCTCTCCGACAAGAAGCTGGCCATCGGCCTGTCGGCCGCCTCTGCTGCGTGCGCCGCCCGCCGCCCCTTCTCCGACTGGGCGACGTTGGGAGACGAGATAGCGACACAGATGCGGAAGTATTGCCGGGGCCGCGGTCGGGAGCATTTCTCGGCAAGGCAAGCGGCCGCTGACTTGACCCAGGTGCCAGGGTGAGCGATTGGACTCGGGCCCGGATCCAGGTCGGGGCCCGGAGCCCAGGCTGGCCATTACTTGGCCGCGGCCGCGGACGGCAAGAAAACGAAACGCATCCCAGGCTTCATGAACTACAAAGAGCAGGCGGAGAAGTGCGAATACAGCAAGCTCGTTTGCCGGATGACCTCCCCCGCGGCCGCGGCCGCCGCAAGGTGCACGCCGACGCCCGCTCAGGGCAGCCACGGCGTATGGAATTTAGCCGCGCCGGGGGACGCGCGACGCCCACGTTCGAAAAAAATCCGCGCGCCGGCCGGCCGGCCGGGCCCGGGCTCAAAAACGAAGCCGTCGGCACAAATCAAAATTGACTTTGCCTGTCGTCTCGCTGTGCGCTCCTGGACATAAACATTTCGTACGAAAAACCAACACCCACGACGGTCCCGCGGCGCTGGCCTGCCCGGAGGGCGCCAGACGCCCCCCCCATCCCGCCCCCTGGAGCAAAAATGCAGACGGGCCGTCAACGTGAAGTAAAGATTGGTTGGGCCCGTTGGGTTGCTCTTCGCCTCCAGGCATGCTCACTCCTCACGAGAACCCCACGCCAGTGTAGGCCCCGCGGCCCAGGCAGCCCGAACGCGCCCTGCGTCCCCCGCCCTGGCCCCCAATTTATTTATTCATTTATATATATATATATATAAAAAAAAATATATTATATTTAAACAAGAAGCTGCCGTCGACGTGAACCAAAAATTGGCGCGGCCACCTGGGGCGCCCCCACGCATCCGGACGTGCTCCATCCTGGCGAAAAACCCGCGCCCACGTCAGCCCCGCGGAGCAGCCCGACCGCAGCGCCCGACGCCCCTCGCCCGAGCCCGGCGGCAAGAAAGCAGCCGTCGACGTGAACCAAGAATGGGCTCGACCCCTGCGGTAGGCCTTCGCTCGTGGAGATGCCCACTGCTTCCGAGAGCCCGCGTCCCCCTGGGCCCCGTGGCTCGAGCAGCCCTGTCGCCACAGCAGCGCGACCAGCGCCCGACGTCCGGCACGGCCGCACGCACGACCACCAGCGTGACCACCAGCGCACGACCGGGGGCGCGACCACCAGCACGACCACCAGCACGACAACGACCACGACGACCAGTCTAACAGCGAGCCCGCCGCCACGAGCACCACGAGGACCACCCGCCCGACCGCCGGCACGGCCACTCGCACGCACGACCACCTGCTGCGGTCAACCGCGGAGCGGCCAGCCAGTGCCTCACGGTCGGCCCCGCCGGCTCTGGCCCAACTGGCGTGACACGCCAACCGCGTCCCAGGAGGAGGAGGAGGATGAGGAGGAGGAGGAGGAGGAGGAACGACCGCCCACCAGCACCAGCACCACCACCAGCACGACGACCACCACGACCAGCATCACGGGAAAGATGTCGAGCACGAACGCCAGCACGACCACGAGCACGACCACCGACACAGCTGCCCTCCGTGGCTCGCCCTGCGACCACAAAAATACCAAACCGCGGTGGGATATGAGATCCCCGCTCTTGTGCCAAGGACGAGGGCGAGGGACAAGATGTTGTGGCGAAGCGAAGCGAGCCAACAACATCTGGTGTACAAATGTATGTATGTATGTATGTATGTATGTATGTATGTATGTATGTATGTATGTATGTATGTATGTGTGTATGTATATTTGTATATATGTATATATGTATGTATGTATGTATGTATGTATGTATGTATGTATGTATGTTTGTTTGTATGCATGCATGTATGTATGTATGTATGTATGTATGTATGGTTGTGTGTATGTGTATGTATGTATATATACACACATACATATATATGTGTATGTATATGTATATGTATATATATAAATATATGTGTGGTCGTCCTCCTGTGATCATACATTTCGTCGTCGTCGTCCTCCTCCTCCTCCTCCTTCTCCTCATCTCGGGGGAGAGGAGTGGTGGGGGAGGAGTAAGCGGAAGAGACGGAAGAGGGTGTCCGCGGGGGCCGAACGGGAGACCGAACAACAGGGAAGAAACAAACATATGAAAACACCTGTGTTTTCACATGGAAAAAAAGAAACAAACTCCCCCTTTCGATGGCGGGGAGGAGGAAAAAAAAAAAACAACAAAAAACACCTCTCCTCCGTCTCCTCGAGAAAGAAGAACAAACTTCGCCTCAGAGGGCGGGGAGGGTGGAAAAAGGAAAAAAACGCCCTGCCCTTGCCTGTTTTCTCCATTTGGGGAGACGGGGGAGGAAGAAGCGGAGGAGCAAGCGGAGGAGACGGAGGAGGGTGTGTTTTTCCTCTGTTTCCTCTACCCGCCCTCGGAGGCGGAGTTTTGTTTCCCCTTTTTTCAGGTGAAAACACAAGTTGTTTCATAGTTGTCCCTTGTTCCTGTTTTTCTGTTTCCCGTTCGGCCCCTCAAGGTTTCCCCGCCGCCCCAGGGGGGGAGCGAAAAACAGGGGAAAAAAGGAAACATATGAAATCACCTGTGTTTCCACATGGGAAATGAAAACAAACGCCGCCTCCGAGGGCGGGGAGAGGGGAAAAACAGGAAGCAACACCCTCCTCCGTCTCCTCTGCTTACTCCTCCGCTTCCTCCTCCCCCGTCTCCCCAAATGGAGAACGCAGACAAAGGCAGGGCGTTGTTTTTCCTTTTTCCACCCTCCCCGCCCTCTGAGGCGAAGTTTGTTCTTCTTTCTCGAGGAGACGGAGGAGATGTGTTTTTGTTTTTCTTTTGTTCCTCCTCCCCGCCCTCGAGGGGGGAATTTCTTTCTTTTTTTCCATGTGAAAGCAACAGTTTTTCATGTTGTTCCTTTTTTCCTGTTGTTCGCTCTCCCGTTCGGCCTCTCGGGGCGTCCCCGCCGCCCCAGGGGGGGGAGGAGACGACGAGCGTTGGTTTTCAATTGCCTCTACGATGGTAAGCTGCATGCTGGGATGAACTCGTCGTCGCACAACAAGCGCAATTCGACAACCGCCACAAAAGGAATCGACATGTAAATCCGCTTCCCCCGTGTCCACCTCCGCTTCCTACTCTTCCTCCTCCTCATCATCTTTCTCCTCCTACTCCACACAAGGAATCCATGTGGAGGCCCCTCCGCATAAGGGGTCGATATGTGAAGGGCCTCCCACATAAGGAATCAATGTGTGCAGGCTCCTTTACATAAGAACTCATCTATGAAGGCCCCTCCCACATAAGGATTCAACATGTTGGAGGCCCCTCCACACAAGATATCAATATGGATACCCCGTGCACATACGGAATCAATATGCGGCGGTCCCTCCACAGACAAACTCAATATGTGGAGGCCCCTCCACATAACGAATATATATTCGAAGCCCCATCCACATAAGAAATCCATGTGGAGACCCCTTTGACCTAAGAAATGAATATGTGGAAGTCCTTCCACAGACGAAATCAACATGTGGAGGTCCCTTCCACATAAGGAATCAATATGTGGAGGAATCCCCCCACACAAGAGGAATCAATATGCGCGAGGCCCCTTGCACATAAGGAAAAATATGGGGGAGGCCCCTCCACAAAAGGAAACAATATCATCTTTCTCCTCCTCATCTTTCTCCTCCTACTCCTTCTGCTCCTTCTTATCCTCAACCCCTGCGCCAGAGCGGGAGGAGGAGGGGGAGGAGCAGGAGGAGGAGGAGGAAAAGGAAATCGCCCGCCGCAAAAGAACTCAATTGATGGAGGTCCCTCCACAGACGGAATCAACCTGTGGAGGCCCCTCAACTTAAGGAATCGAAAATTTGAAGGCCCATCCACATAAGGAATCAATATGTGCAGACCCCTTCCAACATAAGGAATCAACAAGTGGGAGGGCCCTCCACAAAAGAAATCAATATGGAGACCCCTTGCACATAGGGAATCAATATGTGGAGGTCCCTTCCACATAAGGAATCAATATGTGGAGGATCCCCCACAAAAGGAAACAATCTCATCTTTCTCCTCCTCATCTTTCTCCTCATACTCCTTCTGATCCTTCTTATCCTCAACCCCTGCGCCGGAGTGAGAGAAGGAGGGGGAGGAGGAGCAGAAGGAGGAGGAGGAAAAGGAGATCGCCCGCCACAGAACGAATCAATATGTGGAGGTCCCTCCACAGACGGAATCAATATGTGGAGGCCACTCCACATAAGGAATCGACATGAAAAGGCCCATCCACATAAGGAGTCCATATGTGCAGGCCCTTTCACATAAGGAATCATTATGTGAAGGCCCCTTCCACATAAGGAATGAACAAGTTGGAGGCCCCTCCACATAAGAAATCAATATGGAAATCCTTGCTCATAAGGAATCAACATGTGGAGGTCCCTCCGCAGACGGAATCAACATGTGGAGATCATTTCCACATAAGGAAACAATATGTGGAGGATCCCCCACAAGAGGAATCAGGCCCTTTCCACATAAGGATTCAACGAGTGGGAGGCCCCTCCACACAAGATATCATTATGGAAGCCTCTTGCACATATGGAATCATTATGTGGAGGTCCTTCCACACATGGAATCAATATGTGGAGGCCCCTGCACATAAGGAATCGATGTTTGAAGGCCCTTGGAAAGACGAACATATGCAGAGAAGTCGGATCAGCGATAAACGAGTAGAAGGAACGACAATGATAATGAAGAGTAGGAGGGACAATAAAGAGTGGAAGGAACGAGGGCGGTAAGGAAGCTTGCGAAGGGGAAGAAGATGACGAGGCTCTGCAACGGAGAAGGGTGGGAGGAAGGAGGAGGGACGAGGGGTGAGGGAGGAGGGAGGATCGGGATGATAACGAACATAATCAAAAGGAGAAGAAACGAATCATAGAAAGAAATGCAGCGGGAAGGGACAACACCGATGCGGACGGAGAGTGGGCAGCATACGAGGGGGAGGGCTGACAAAGACAGAAGTGGGAAGTATCGAAGACAAGGCGAATGGAGAAGATGGGAAAGGAGAGGAGGAGGAGGAGGAAGAGGAGGAAAGGGAGGAGGCACAGGGGGAGGAGGAGGATGAGCAGGAGGAGGGAGAGGGGCAGGAGGAGAGGGAGGGGAGGGAGGAGGAGGAGGAGGAGAAGGAGGAGGAGGAGGAGGAGGAGGAGGAGGAGGGGGAGAAGGAGGAGGAGGAGGAGGAGGAGGAGGAGGAGTAGAAGGAAGACAATAAAGAGAATAATGGAGGAAGAAGGAGGAGAAAGGACGAGGGGGGATGATGGGGAGGGAGATGAGGAGAAGGAGGAGGAGGAGGAGGAGGACGACGACGACGAGGACGACGAGA